ACGGTCGGAGGAGTGCCAGCCACCTCACCCCCGTGTGGCCGTCCTGCGTGCCCGCCTGCTGCGGGCCAAGGGGGGCGCCAGCTCCAGCAGCCCCTACGTGGTCATCCAGCTGCAGAAGCAGAAATACGTGACGGCAGTGGTGCCCACAAGCTGGCCCGAGAGGCGGGGGGGCATGCTCCAAGGAGCACCGCCTCGCCCTCACGGCCATGCACCGCTCTCCCTGGCACTTCGACCGGTTTCTGGGCCGGCCCCGCTGTTCCGCGACAAGGCACGCCCCTGCCTCCTTCCTACGGGGGTCAGCCCGTCAGCAGTGGAGGTCTGGCACACGCCCCCAGGGCCCTTCCTCCTGGGGTCCCAGAGCACAGGGCAGCCTTGTGGGGGTTGGGCTCTCTGCTGCCAGCATACATTGGAGTGGGGGTCTGAAATCCCCTCTGGCAGGGGCCAAGGACTGATCCAGGGGAAGGCGAAGACCCATTCAGTGCCCCTGGCCAGGCGCGTGGTGGGTGTGGGCCTGCCCGAGTGGCTGGGAAAAGGCCCCAGCTGGCCCCCTCAGGCTCCGGCATGGAGAGCCTGTGAGCAGGGTAAGGGAGAAGGGCAGGTGGGAAAGGTGAGGCAGGAGAGAGGGGCAGGGAGCTGAGTGGGGGTGGGGGAGGGTAGAGCCATTGTACCATGCGGGAAACTCTCCTGCCCTGTTCAGAAACTGAGAATCTGCTGCTGGCCCAGAAGGAAGCAGCTTTCCAGGCAGGGGCTTGGGAGGCGTAATTGCCTCTGGCCTGGCCAGCCAAGGCCTTGGCACATGGGTGGGGAGCCTGTGTGGCCGGGTGGCTTTCTGAAAGCAGGACTCAGCACAGCAGGTAGCTCCCATTCCCCCCAGGCCTGGCTGGGCTGAGCCCAAGTGGCTGGAGCAGCTTCCTCCATGGCTCACGGACTTGTCTGGCACAGGTGGTTCCGGCTGCAGTCCAAGCGTGGCAGACCGGACAAGGTGCACGGGCAGCTGCAGCTCGAGCTCCAGTTCATGCAGATCCTGTCTCCGGGCAGCGAGTCAGCACTCAGCACCCAAGGGCCACGGTCCCTCCTCACTAAGCTCCGCAGCAGCATCCCAGGCAGAAGAAACAAGGTTTATCACGAGCCCCGATCCCGTTCCTTGTGCATGGTACGGGGCATCCCTGGCCAGCAGCCTGGCAGCAGAGCAATAGCCATTTACCCTGGAGACGGTGTCCAGTGGAGTTTTGCAAGCAGCTGAGCAGAACAGGCATCCATGTGCCCCACTCAGCTCTGGGTGCAGCCAGGAGGCTGCTGGGCTCCCAGGGGTGGCATGGCTGCCCCAT